AATTCAATGGTATTTAGTATATCTGCAGTGTTGTGCAAGCATTTCTACTGTGTAGTTCTAGAACTTCATCATCTTCAAAGGAAGAATCATACCTATTAAGCACGGATTCCTTTCTTTTTAAAGTCAAGGGAGAAAGCAGCTGTACAGGCTGAGATAAAAACATTTAGCTGTGAAACAGAAAGCTTCCTGCTAAAAAATAATCAAGAGCATCTCCAAGTTTCCCAGTCATTCAATTTCTCCCTTCTGCTGAAATGTACCAGCTTCCAATCAAAGACCATAGGCACAGACTGACCGAGAGCTGGAGTTTCATAAACCAAGTTGGTTAAACATCCATTCTTGTCGTGAACTAAGAAAATAGAAATAATAGAAAATACGATATAAGACTCCATTGGGATAACATACTTTGGTCATTAGGACTTTACTACCCACGCATATAAAAACCAACAAAACTTGATGTGTGCGAATGGGATGGGGAAGAGTCGCTTGTAGTTGTTACTTAAAAGGAGGAAAAAGAAGTTTGTGATAAAATGTTAACACATGGTTTAGTGTTTCTAGGCAAAAAGAAATCAAGAAAGTACCTAAAATATTGAAGAAATATTGCCCAGGAGGATACAAGAGGGACAAAACGGAGCAGTGGGAATGAGGAGAGAATTGCATAAGGAAAGCAGAGGCATGATAGGTTAAGTCTTCTAAAAAGTTTAACGCAATGAAAGCAGCAATGGAATCTACTGGAAGGTTTCCTCAAAGGAGCAGAGCAACCCTGCCTCCAATAGAAAGAGAAAAAGCAACTGATAATTGATTTTCTTCCCCAACAGGCCATGCTCCATTCACAGTAACCATGCAGGGTATTGTCTGCAGAAACCCACCAGATGGTCTGAGTGGAGAGGGAGAATTCGCAAGATGATACAAGAGAATACAAATCAGTCACTTTTATTGCAGCGTTGCTTGGAGTTTGATGGGAATGGCAGACGGCAAGAGTTTTTTAGTATGCATTTGATATCTTTCTTTGGGGAACCAATTTACTTTGATATTTTACCTCAAACATCAAAATGATACACAGTACCAGAGGCTCTCAGCGGGCTTTCTTAGCATGTCCCCAGAATGGGGACAGATTCAATCTCCCAGCCTCTCAGGTTACAACTCATTAACGGGAGAACAAGGTGACTAACAACGTGAGACAGTGGGCCAAACATTTACAAAGAACATTCAAGCACTCTTCACACACCTCTTGGAAAATCTCAGTAGGCAGGATAGAGAACAATTTTGGCTTTAATGGCTTCGATACAGTTTTTTAATAGGTAAAATAATTTTGATTATTCACTTTTAGAATACCAGCAAGGAGTTTATTTATATCTTCCCAGAAAGGATCATGTTATAGGAATTGAGGTAGTCTTCAACCTAGGAAAATGCATGGACTCCAATGCTCCTTTGTAAGCTGGTGGCTTAGCATTTGTAATACATTTTCTTTTAGAGACAATTTACAGAATGTGTAGCCAGGTCAACCTCCAAGCCCAGAATGTAATGTTAAACTCAGTCTTAGATCCTGGTCTTGGATTGTGAAATAAAGGGTCATGAGTCTCTTATTTTTCACCCCCTTTCCAGGGCAAATGGTCAGTTTAAGGTAAATGTTTAAGACAAGGAAAGCTGGTCTTTGATTTGGGACGCATACCAGTGTCCTAGAAGCCACATAAAGCTCAATGCCCCCAGGCTGCTTTAAATGCGCCCCCTGCCCACTACCATGGGATTCCAAGCAGGCCTGATCTGCCTCTTAAAATGCTGCCGGATCCAAAATTATCTATTTTATTTGCCTGTTATAAAATTGTCATGCTTTTCTTTCAGATAATTCATATTATATTCCAGTGTCAAGAAGGAAACAACCTGCTTTAAATCCTTCTTAATGCATGGGTGGCTCATAATCCCTCTTTGTTGGCACCGATGTTTAAATTATTTAAAGAGACTTCTTGCCAATCCAGATATCGATAATCGACAGACTTTGTGTTAATAACATGAGGTGAGAATATTCAACCAGTGTAGGCAATTTTTTTTCTGAACAGGAGGCCTCTGAACAGGTTAGTGATTCCTGAATGGTTAGCTCTCTCAAGAGATGTTTTCTCTAAAATGTTTCTGATTGTTTCTTTTTTGTTACTTTTTATCACCACTCCCAGCCCCCCACAAATTTGTATGGTGACCTAGTGGTACCCGAGGCAGGATTGGTGATAAACATCAGCATTGAGGACTCTCCTAGAGACCAGGCAGGAACAGAAATAGCAGCCCTGATTTGTAAGGTGGGTGTTTTAGAGTGGAAAAATTAACTGGTTACCCTCTCATGATCAAATTCACTAGTTTTCAAAATGAATTTAACGATTCGTGAGAGCAAGATGTTCACTCTTCTGTCTGATTAAATCCCAATGAATCGTCAGCAGTGCAAAAACAGTATACACAGCATTTGACAATAACAAACTATAGGATGGCAGAATAATTTAATGTGCATTTTGTATAAATCAAGCATTGTGTTTCCTCCATTGGGGTTACTTTTGCTGAAATGCACCGGGGAAAGTCATGAATAGGCAACAAAAATATTAGCACTTAAAAATCAGATTGCAAGGGCAACACAAATTTCATTGGTGTTGTGTGTTACTGAGCAAACAACTAGAAAGTTTATCAAGAAAAAAATGTGCAATCAAAATTGACATATAGAAAAAAAAGACTGAAATTCATTTGCTTAGTGTCCTAACCCTTGCCAAGTCTTTAAAACTGTAGTTTCAAATAGAAAGCATAGATGAAGAGTAAGATTAAACAAGGAGGTATAAATTTACCTCTCTGAGAAGCACCAATCAGACAATAAACAGGCCAGAGAAATGTATGATATCCCAGAAAGTTAACAGTAGTGAAAATATTCTCTCCAGGAACCAATGGATTTATTCACTGTGAGCTCGCTGATTGCTTAAGCATGGCCAGTTTTGGAGAGAGTCTCATCCTAAATAGCTGTCCTCTGAGATAATTCCATTACCTACTAGGCATATCCTTTCCCTTCTCAATGATGCATTTCTGGAGATTCTGAGCCTAGAAAAATAATCCTGGTAATAATGGACAAAATATACCATGTATTAATTATATGCTGAGTTTGATTGCAATTGTTCTACACCCATTATCTCATTTAATTCTCACAACTCTGTGAAATAAACATTGTAATATTTTCATTTTATAGATGAGAAAAATGAGACTTGTGAGATTGTGTCTGCCTGAAGTCGCATAGCTGGTGGAACTGAGATAGAAACCCTGATCTGTCAGAGAAAATCCATGCTCTAAAAGTCATGATCTTAAAAGTGGATTCATGCATGGGGTGCCTGGCTGGCTCAGTTGGAAGAGCATGTGACTCTTGATCTCAGGGTCATGAGTTTGAGCCCCACGTTGAGTGCAGAGATTACTAAAAAAAAAAATAAACTTTAAAAAAAGGTGGATATATGCACACTAGCAAACGTTCAAGAAGATCACTTGGGTTCTGGAAGTTAATAATAAATTATATATTTAAGTAAAAGCAAAAAAGCTAATGGGTACCAATATTTAGTGTTTATAGATTGACACAGGCACCCTCACTAGACTTACATATCAGATGGTCAAATACCATGGAGTAGATGACCCGTTTCAGGGAAGCATGGGCATTTCACTACGCGGAGGAGAAGTGGTACTGCCCTGTCACTTTTGGCATATTGCCACAAGTTCCAATTTCTGTGTGCTTATTTTGTGGGTTACATTATGCAGTTTCCAATGGGCCAGTTGTTTGTTTAAGCATACTTTGTTTATAGGTGATACTAAAACGTAAACACAAACCAACACGAAAAGATGGGGCTGACAGTTCTAGTCTCTGATGTTTTTCTTGTTAACTAATTGTAAACAGAGTAAAGATGATAGTACAAACAGATCTGATTGGAAGGTGGCCAAGATGTATTTTAAAATTTTTCTGGAATCTATGTGAAATGCAGATGTACATACACTATTATTAACAATGAATGAATCTCACTCTAGATGTATATTGTGTCTTCAGCTATGAGCTATTGATAGTATGGAGCTATATTGATTAGTGAAGCATTAAAAGCTAACCACTTTGAACATGAACATAAATCCCTACAAATACTTCAGCAACATTTAAAATCATTAAGTCTCTGCGATATTTGGTAACAGTTTTCTAAAGTCAGTCATAACTATTTATAAGCCTCTTTTGAAGTTTCTTACTATACTTGCTTATGCCTACAAATTGTAAATATCAATACGTATATTAAGAGCACTGTTTAAGAACCGTGTTAGGATTGTAGGGATGCTTGGCTGGCTCAGTCGGTAGAGCAAGTGATTCGTGAAAGCAGGGTCATGAGTTCAAGCCCCACCTCAGGGGTAGAGATGACTTTAAAAAAGTCATAAACTGATCTAGGAGTGTAGTCGAAAATGTTTAGGGACACCTGGGTGGCTCAGCGCTTGAGCGTCTGCCTTTGGCTCAGGACATGATCCCGGAGTCCTGAGATTGAGTTACACATCAAGCTCCCTGCGTGGAGCCTGCTTCTCCCTCTGCCTGTGTCTCTGCCTCTGTCTCTCTGTGTCTCTCATGAATAAATAAATAAAATCTTAAAAAAAAAGAGAAAATGTTTAGAGATCAGTCTTCTAAATCACTAGTACTATGTTGTTCCTCTAGGAAAGATGAGGCTTAAAGCTGTTCAGTGAAAGGACATTTAAATAGTAAGAAAATAAAAACGTGGTTTCAGGAACATAAGTTCTCAATGGCTTACTTAAAGCTTTCCAACTTTTAGCGTCTTCTTCAGTTTGTTTCATTGTCCTTATTCTACATAATCTTCAACAGTTTTAATACAGCCTTATGTGTCAGAACTACTTGGATCTGTAGTTTCATTTTCCAATTTTCTTGACTCTGTGCCTTCTGGTACATTATGTTACATACAGGTGAACTTGTCTACTATATAGCATGTTTGTAAAATCAGGTATTTTACCTTATTGTCCTCGCTCATTTATTTTTTTGGAGGTTGATTCTCTGGATTTCCAACTCTCTGAAGCACTTCTATTCAGCTAGTTTTCTTGAGTGACTGTGAAGTAAATTAGATATAATTTATACATTAATACTTTCATGTTAATATATAAAATATATTTGGAAACATTATAATCTGGGTCATGTATATTAATTTCTCTCTCTCTCCCATGACAAAATTGCCTAAACTCTCGAACAAATTTCACCTAATAGAGTTGGTGCTGTCATATGCCTGGGGGCAGCCCCTTGAACTGTGGCGACGACACTACTCGTCAGAACTGAGGTACAATCAGCAAGTGGTAACATGGGCAAAAGGCACAGATGGGTATCAAGAACACTGAGAGTAGATAAATCCACTAGGCTAGGGCATATAAGGGAAAGAAGTGCAGGTCCAGGGAGAACTGGCATCAAGGAATTCCAGAGATAAACATCAGGCAGATATATTGCCGGGTAAGAACTCAGTCTCAGAACAGACTGGTCGAAGGCAATAATGATTCAAGGTTAGAACTCTAGTATCTGGGGGGCAAAAACACTAAAAAAGATATAGAAATTTATGATGCAAGGACTCTTGAAAATTGAAACCGTGACCCAAATTCAAGAACTGGACCATAAAGGGAGATCTTGATGTCATATAGTAAGGCAAAAACTGAATTTACTAGAAGCAGGGTACACTTTTAAAATATTGGTAGTGCTCAAGCTGGTTTGATGCTTCATTGCCAAGATATATATCTAAGGTCATATGTTCCTTTTGCTTCAGAGTCAGTGAGTGGGTTGGGGTAAATTGACCCTACTGTGGGGCCCATGGGAAGTAAGCTCATGGTAGGGATTTGCTAATCTGAGCAAGTGTCGTGCTAATTGGTGCTATGAAGTACTGGCACATTTTGTGGTTTCCTTAATTTCTATCTCCAGATTGAATTTCAACTGGCTATGTCCCGGGGTAAGAGATTATTGTAACTACTTTTAAATAACGTCAGTCTGTATGATGAAATACAGATCTGTCACTGAAATTGTGTGCACTGATGCACAGGCTGTATTAGTCAGGTTTTTTTTTAGAGAAACAGAACATATATACATATATATGTACATATATATGTAGGGGATATATATATACATGCATATACATGTACATGCATACATATATGTATATTATGTATATATACATGTATATATACATATGTAGGAGATTATAGTAGGAGGTTATACATATGTATGTATATATATAATTATATGTATATAATCTACTGGTTCCTTTATGCATACACACATACATTATATATATAATATATGGAGATTATATATATATTATATATAATATATATATAATCTCCTATTGGTTCCTATACACACACGCACACATGCACTGGCTTCATACAACCATGGAGGTTGGCAAGTCCAAATCTGCAGGATAGGCTGGCAAGCTATAGACTCAAGAAAGAGTTGATGGTGCAGCTTAAGTCCAAAGGCAGTTTGTGGCAAAATTCTCTCTTTCTCAGAGGATGGCAGTCCTTTTGCTCTTAAGACCTTCAACTGATCGATTTGATGAGGCTCACTTACCCACTCACACTATGGAACATAATCTGCTTTACCCAAAGTCCATTTATTTAAATATTGATCTCATCTAAAAATACCTCCACAGCAACATCTAGACTTGTTTGGCCAAATATGTAGGTACCATGGCCCACCCAAGTTGGCATATATAATTAATCATCATCCAGGAGTTCATATATAAATTCACTTCAACACAATTAATATTAATTGTTTACTCTTTCTTAGGCACTAGACTGGGTGCTATGAGTCAATTAGAAATGGTTGGTCCTGGTAGTGTCAATTTCAGCTATGGAAATATTGTAATATTCTGGGCACAGTTGGGGACTTGAAATAAGGCAGCAAAAGGAATAAGAATGGGGAGAAATGGACAGATAGAAGATATTCTATCTCCTCAGCAAGACTTGGGGAATAATTAGATTTGGGAGAGGGCGAGGAAGAAGGTGGATGGACATTTGGGTGGATGGATATGTAATTTATTAGAAGAAGGAGTAACTTATGGGAAGATGAATTTACTTTTGAATCTGAGATGCCCCAGAACAACTAGGTGAAGTTATTCAGTGGGCAGTGGATATATGTTTATGTGGATCCAGAGGTCTGGATACAGATACAGACTTAACTAGTTGGCCAGGTCAAAAAAATGAAGAATCATCTTTGAGCACCTACCCTCCATCCAAACAAACAAACACAAACAAACAAACAAACTATCCTGTCAGCTCAAAGTTTGAAATCTAGTCTCAGTCTCCTCATTTTTCCCTACTTCCTTGCTAATAACCTAGTGAAAATCATCACTGTTTCTTGCCTGGATTAGAGCAACAGTTTCCTAACTGGCCTTTCTACTTCTAGATGTAAATTCCCATCATGGCCTATTATGAATTAGTCATTATGACTCTTAAAGCATAAGCCATATTGATGAAACTGGAGACTATTATGCATTGTGAAATAAGCCATATACAGGAATAAAGAGCAAAACTACATGATCTCACTTACATGTGAAATCTTAAAAGTTGAATGCATAGAAGCAGAGAGTAGAATGGTTTACCAAGGGTGGAGAGGTGAGGGATAGGTGAGGAGATGCTGGTCAAAGAGTAGAATGTTGTAGTTACATAAAATAAATAAGTCTAGAGATCTGATGTACAGCATGATAGCTATAGTTGGTAATACTGTATCAAATACTAGCAATTTACTGGGAGTAGGTTTCAGGTGCTTTCTCCACACACAAAAAATGGTAACTATGTGAGGAAGTGATATGTTTATTAGCTTGATTGTAGTGATCATTTCACTCTGTACATACTTGTCAAATCATGTTTTATACCTTAAATATATACAATTTATATATTTGTTTGAAATGTGTAATGGGGCACCTGGGTGCTTAGTCAGTTAACCGTCTAACTCTTGATTTCGGCTCAGGTCATGATCTCAGGGTCATGGGATCAAGCACTGCATTAGGTTCTATGCTCAGCAGGGACTCTGCTCTAGATACTCTCTCCCTCTTGACCTTCTGCCCCTCCCCCCACTCAAGTGCTCATGCTCTCTCTCAAATTAATAAATAATAAATCTTAAAAATGTGTAAAAGATTATAAGCCATATCCTGCCATGCCCCTGATGAAAATTATAAAATGGTTCCTCATTTCAATCAGAGCCAAAGGCCATGTCCTAATGATGGCCCACAAGATTCTAGATAAACTCCCCACTCCACTGTCTTACCTAATACTATCATATCCTCTCATTCACTCTTCTCCCACCATAATTGTCTTGTTCTGCAAACGTGCCAGGCATGTGCTTGCCTCAGGACCTTGGCACTATCTGTTCTCTCTGCCAGGAATATATATCCTGTATCCTCCAGATATCTACATGGCTCACTTTGTCATTTCATTCAAGTCCCAGCCCAAAGTTATGATCCTGTTGAAGCCTTTAGTGACACCCTTATGTAAAATAGTACCTTGATCCCTTAACTTGCTTTATTCTTTTATAGCACTTATTACCAATCAATACATTTATTTGTACCTTCGCTAACTGGAATACAAACTGAATGCAAGTCTATTTTGTTTACATATTTATTTCCAGCATCAGATTTATTGTATATGGATACTAAACATAGTCACAAGAGTGGATAGATCACCCATGAACTCTTATACTGTGATAAGAGGTCCCAATATGAAGTATTGAAAGAAATCAACATTTACGAGATGAATAGAGAAAACTCCCACTGAAATTGAAAAGTGACCACACATGTAGAGAAGAGATGCCCAGGTCACCAAAACAGAGGAAGGAGAGAATTTCGAAAAGGAAGGTAAACAAATGAAAAAGTAAGATATAATATTGTTTATATTTGCCATTTTTAAGAGTCCCTGATTCTTATTAAAGCTATATGAGTGACTGTGAAAGTAAGCTGACCAAAACTGCATTGGGACACAATATTTACAAATTGTTTAGAATTGTTTTATAAAGTAGAAATATAGGGGTATTCAGAGTTAAATGACAATTGCAAGGTATTTGGCAGTGAATGCTTTAGATTTATTTTATATTACAGCTGGAGTCTTTTCAAAGAGTAGGCTAGATTCAAAAATATGTTTTAATCTCTATGAATAAATAGAACTGCTGGACTCTGAAATAACTAAGTACATTGAAAAGTTCCATACAATTTTTGATTACTATAATGAGAGATTTTTATTATCTGCTGGGATCCATAAACTATTGCCCTAATACCACATGTCATTTTGTGAGCAATCTCAGCTGGGACAGAAACAGAACACGCGTGTATGAGCGCATCTAAGGAGGCAGTAGAATTACTAGCTGGAAAGACTGATAGAGAGGGATGAGATTCATAGAGGTATAGAGAAGAGACAGTTCAGAGGACCTGAGCTAGGTCTTAAGGGGAAAAAGCAAGTTCAGGGATACTCCATACTGAGGCCGTGGAGGCCACTGAGTCAAGAGGAGTTTTTCCAGAATGGTGGGGGGGTGGTGGTGGTGAGTGGCAAACACTCAGGAAGGACAATACTTCCTCAAATATACTAGGAGAAGAGAAAAATAGCTTGGTAAATAGAAATAAGATTACATGATCAAGGGAGGACAATATAAACCCACACATGAGGCTGAAAGGGAAATCTGGAACAAGAACCAAGTATTAGAAAACACTGAATGAGGATTTATGTTAAGCTAGTCAAGCATAAGTAATAAGTGAGATGCTGTGCCGGTAATTTGTCTCATTTCATAGATAGCTGTAGATGACTTGCATCCTGAGACTCCCTGGTCCTCTGGTAAAATATGCCATAAGCAAATATTTTTAAAATGGGAATGATGTAAGAAACATTCTGCTGGGTACTGTGGAGTTTCAACAGAAAAGTTCTTCACTGGGGGCTATATTGTTATAATACTTGAGAAAGTAGCAAAGAGAAAGCTACAAATCCTAAGGATTTGGTCTTTGGGAGAGAAAGGGTTGAAAAACCCAAAACAAATAAAACAAAAGAGCACCTAATCTTAAGAGGGTGGCAACACAGAGGTAGCTACTAT